AATATGCTCTGCTCGTCAAATATTGGAGTCCAAATAACCCTACCATTCCCAGGAGAACTGACAGGACTAAGGAAAGTTGAGACTGGCTACAACGTTTCGCTGTCATAAGGGACAAAGATACTTTCAATATGCAAATGGGAGGCGGAGGAGTAGAGTGACTACAAACACATCTGTGGAATCAGACCTGCGGGGTTCAACCCTGACCCCACTCCTTACTAGCTGTGTGTCCTTGGGAAAATCACTTAATCTCTGGGCTTCAGTTTCCTCATCTCTAAAACTGGTACAAAAGTCATAGGATAATAGGGTGGTTGGGAGAATTAAGTGAATTAATACATGTCACATATTTAGAAGAGGACCTGACACATAGTTAAAAACTCAGTATTTATTCTAAAAAAAATTCCCCATTATTTACAGTCAAAAATAACCCTGTATCAGTTATTTCAAGTCTATCAACACTTCAGCCAACCAAAATTCAGCTTAATGATTAGTCAATGAGCACAAGTTTATGTCAGATACCAAGCTTGGCATCAGATCTAGCAACATGAACACATTCAAAACGAACAAGATTCTTCTTGGAAGAATCTTATAAAAATGCATGTGCTTAGAAAAATGACATTACAATGCAATATTTGCTGTGGCAAACTTACCTTCCAAATACTAGACCAACTATAGGTGGGGCAAATGGTACTGTGAAGGATGAGAGATAGCCAATGCCTTGGTACACTGGGGAAACTACAATTATTCCCTCACTGAGGCTCTGTAGGGGCAGAAGTGCAGAACAATGCGGCAGCTTGGAGAATGTGATAAAGGGTCTCAGACACGCTGATAAACAGGTTAGACTTATAAGCGAGAGGCAGACATGCAGAGTTCTCGCATAAGCAAGGGAATAATTGACTGACTAGTGTTTTATAAATCTGTTGTCCATGTGGAGGATGGTTTGAGAAGTTAATAATGCTTACATATTGATATGTTGAAGCCTAATCTCTTGCAAAATGGACTTGAAATCTGCTTGTGCAGTTATGTATTCATGTAAGTAATTAATATTAATTTAATAATCAACGACACACAAAGTAAGGGGAGAAACATCACCAGAATTATGACATGTTATTAAATTGATTTCTGAACTTCCTAGGAGCCAAGGCAAAAAAAGAAAGGCTGTATGTTATAAAAATTACCGAAGAGAGAAAATCTTTCCTTTTTCTTGGCACTAAATTCTAAAAGGTACTTCCTTGCAAGGAAAAAGTGATATTGACCAAATAAACAAAACGTAACACACAACACGAGCACAAAATGCTCTTGATAGTAACGTATGATGGCCACAGTCCCAGTTCTGTACGCTTTAGACGGAGCAAGGGAGGGAATAGCCCCATAGGTGGGATTAGAAATGATGGGATTCCCCAGGGATCATGGCCACAGCCGGGACCACAAACTCAAATGCCTAAACTGAACAGGCAGTTACAAGAGTGAAGCAAGCTGGCACAACCAGAGCACCCTGCACTGCGTGAGGATAGATGCCTCTACCTCAGGCTCAGACTTGAGGAGCCAGAGAGAATGGTAGAAAGGATGATGGTTCTCATGGAAAAGAGAAAACAGATCTTTATAAGGTCTGGTTTTTCAAAGGAAGTAAAAAATCCAGGTTTTGGAGAAAAATCTCCTTTTTATGGTGGCAACTATTTCTTTGTTCTTGTTTTGTTTTTCAATACAGCATGGGCCAAGGGTCTGAGATGGACCCGTGGATCACTTTGAGACCTCCGATGCAGAGTGACAAGAGAAGTACTAAAGAAAAAAAAAAAAAGAAGTACTAAAGAAAGAAGGTCCAGGATTAACAGATACAAACTACTGCATATAAAATAGATAGAGAACAAAGTCCTACTGTGTAGCACAGGGAACTACATTCAATAGC